CTATAAACTTGTAAAGGATCCCTGTAGCTGTGTCATTGTTATAGTACTGCTGTTAAGAAGGCCACGGTACTGTAACACTACCAAAACTCAATCTAAAATAATACTGAGTAATTTTGATCTAGCTGTTGATGCAGCTATTCATCAAATTTTGCCTTTTATATATTCAATATATTGTGCTTTTCATATAAGTCAAAATTTATATAAAAATCTTAGAAAACCTTTAGGAAATAATTACCAAAAGTTTCTTACAGAATTTTACAACTGTCGTAATAGTTTTGTTGAGGAAAGCTTTGAATAGCGATTCAATAAACTTACAATAGACTATTCTAATGTTAAGCATTATTTGGATTTTCTCTATAAAACTAAAACAGCTTGGGCATATCGCTATACTGCCTACCAATTTACAGGTGGTATGATAGCTACTTCACGAATTAAATCTGCTAATGTATGCCTAAAAAGGTTAATTCATAATTTAAATATTTCATTATATGATTGGTAAAGAAAATTCACAGACTACTTGATAATCATGATAAGGAAAATAAATATAAATTCTGGCAATTGGCAATTCCATTTATCAAAAATCAGAATAAGGTAAACTTCTTGTTTGCTAAGGTTGATCAATGTCTTCAATGATTTCTTGGGCCTACACTGTTAAAAATACACCAGGACGAAATCAACCAATTATTATATTATACAGCAACTCAAGTTAATCGAGATGAAGTTAAACACCTAAATGAAGTAAGTTAGTAAATTTTCTTTATTTTATATTATATATTTAAGCTAAATTTATATTGATATATAGGAACATACAAATAAACTTTTAGAAAAATCACTAGACACTGATCTTTTACAAACTACTTTGAAACATATGATTAAATTTGTTAGAAACCATAACATTATAGATATCTGGGCAGTTAGTGTTAGAAATTTAGTACAAATTAAGCACTATATTTTTTTATTACAAAATCATAGATATATTTGTACATGTTTTCAATAACACGATCGGGAATTATATGCAGACACTATTTTCAAGTTATATTAACTACAAAGACAGCAATATTTCATATTTAATTTATACCATCACGATGGTATTGTGTTGAGCAAAATGGATCGAATGAGCTTTTTTTAGTGGCTAATAAATTTGCACAAGAAATTGAAACTGTAACATTAAATTATGATAGTTCTGTACTATATTTAAATGTATTTGATCGGACTAGAACAGACTTTCATAAAGAAAATCTAACTATCCTTGAACAAAAAATTATTTACAGAAGATTACATAGAACGTACAAGAAAGCATTGTATAAAGCATTGCAAAATAATTCTAAATTGCAATAGTTTATTAATTTACTAGAAGAATTTATTAAAGAAATAGACAGCAACAAGTCATCAGATTCAGAAGAAAATATACAAGATGATAATATAGTGATAAAGAAAATCAAGCACCTGCAACAACAATTCAACTACAAAATCTAAAAAAGCGTCAAGGTAAAGATTGACTTTCAGGTACCAAAAGGTTTAAATCCATCTACAAAAGTTCTAAATCTTCAACAAAAAATCAGTGCCGGTGTAAAAAGTGTAGAAATATTGGGTACTATCAAAAGAATTGCAGAGTAATTATCCATTATTAATATAGGTAAAATGATGCAAATGCAATTATTAACAAAATTGCATAACATATATAGCAATTAGAATCAAGTGCAAACAAATGATCTTGGAATGTAAATGCCAATATCGATCTTGTTTAATGTCAATATTGGTATTCGTCTCTAGCTTTAATTTATTTACTAACTAATTAGCCAATCTATTATTTAGTAATTGTTTGTGATTTGATTTATATATTCAAAGCAATATTCAAGATCATAATGCTATTACAATTTAATATCATGATGTATGCTGTTTTTTTATTTATAGCTATCAATAATTGAAGACTATGCTATAAGTACTAACTATTTTAGATTTTAGCTATTAATGTTGTTATAAATATTTCTTATTAGCACTTGTATTAGGTATCACTTTGGCTGAGTTAAGATTAGAGTTGTTGTGTCTCATATTAATGCTTGTGTTAGATGTTGTTTTTATCTGAGTTAAAGTTAGAGTTTGTTGTACCTCTTATTAACACTTGTATTAGATATTACTTTTGCTTAAATTAAGGTTAGGGTTTGTATTAGATGTCGTTT